CTGGGTTATAAATAACAGAGGCCAAATAAACCAGGCTCCAAAGCAAACAGCGGGAGCCGCGGGATGAGGCTCCATCCCAGAGGGTTCATGCGGGGATCCCACTGTGGAGCATCCCTCCCCTCCCACTGATGGGGAAAGCAAAAACTGATGGAAAAGCCAAGCTTGCCGCTGGAGACGGGTATTTTTGGCCTGGTTTTAATTAATAGGAAGAGATTCCAGGTTATTTTGAGTGGGGTGAGATTCCTTGGGTGTTTTTTCCACGTGATGCTGGGGTTTTCCTGGACACCCCACACCGCCTCCTTGGGGTTTTCTCTCATTAAACCCCAATTGAGGGGAGGGAGATGAAAAATACTGAAAAATCACTTTAAAAATGCATTTTCCCCATCTTTTTCAGGTGATCCTGGGCGGAGGGAGGAAGTACATGTTCCCTAAAAATGCCAGCGATGTGGAATATCCCCATGAGGACAAGCACCGGGGCACCCGCCTGGACCGCAGGGACCTCATCCAGGCGTGGTATGAGGCCAAGCCCCCTGGCAAGGTGACAGGGACATTGCTTTGGGGGGGGGGGGGTACCTCACTGTGGCCCTACAAAGCCATTTGGGGCATGGGATATTGTGGGGAGAGGGGGGGGATAGAGCAGCCCCGGGGATGGGGAGGTGACAACGTGCTTGTCCCCAGGTTGCCAAGTACGTGTGGCACCGGAGGGACCTGCTGGCGCTCAACCTCAGCCGTGTTGACTTCCTCCTGGGTGAGTCCTGGCACCCAAGGGTGCTCTGGCTTTAACTGGGTGCAGGGAGGGTTGTGGGGGACACCCCTGGCCTGGCCTGTGGTGCTGGGGCAGCTGGAGTGGGCGGCCAAGGATGCTGCTGCCTTCAAGGGATGCTGGTGCCCCCCAAGATGAGGGTACCACAAAGGGATGCTTTTACCCCCGAGATGCTGGTACCACAAAGGGATGCTTTAACCCCCGAGATGCTGGTACCACAAAGGGATGCTTTTACCCCCGAGATGCTGGTACCCCACCCTGAGACTCTGGTACCCGCTAAACATGTTGGTACCTTCCCCTGGGGATGCTGGTACCCCCTAAACATGTTGGTACCTTCCCGTGGGGATGCTGGTACCCCAAAGGAATGCTGATACCCCTCCGTGTGGATGCAGGCTGGTTTTGGGAGCCCATGGCACAATTCCCCAGCCCGGGATGCAGGGTTCGGCTGGGCTGGAGGAAGGAAGGGCTGGGAGCATCCCCCGGCTCCTATCTAAGCACCGGGGATCCGGTAGCCTGAGCCAGCAGAAGCAGTCGGTGCTGCTGGATCTGTGTGTCCTGTCCCCTGTTTACTGGTGGGGAAAGGATGTGCCCAGCAGTGCCATTGTCCCCAGGCCTCTTCGAGCCGGGTGATATGGTGTACGAGCTGGACAGGAACAATGAGACGGATCCGTCCCTCACTGAGATGGTGGCTGTAGCCATCAGGATGCTCCAGAAAAACCCCCGGGGGTTCTTCCTCCTGGTTGAAGGTGGGACAGGGGGAATATGGGGATGCAAAGGGGAGTGGAGGGGATGTGGGGGTCAAAAGGAGGGTGATGGGGATGCAAAAAGATGGGGATAAAGGGGGTGATGGGGGGATAAAGGGGGATGCAAAGTGGGGGATAAAGTGGGAAATAAAAGGGGTGTTGGAGGATAAAGGAAGATGGGTAATATTCAAGGGGGGGGGTAAAAGAGAGACATAAACAGTGAGATAAAGGGGACCATGGAGATGTCAAGGTGGGGATAAAGGGAGTGATGAGGGAATAAAGGGACTGGAGGATGAAAAGGGGGAGATAAAAGGGAGAATGGGGGATGCAAAGGGGATGGTAAGGGGACAATGGGGGATGTCAAGGGCGAGGATAAGGGGGGGACAGGAGGATGTATAGGTGGGGTAACGGGGGCGATGAGGGCTGCCAAAGAGGGATGGAGGGCGATGCTGAGCCATGCTGGGTACCGCAGGAGGCCGCATCGACCACGGGCACCACGAGGGGAAGGCGAAGCAGGCGCTGCACGAGGCGGTGGAGCTGGACCGGGCCATCGGGCTGGCCACTCGCCTCACCTCGGTGCAGGACACGCTCAGCGTGGTCACCGCCGACCACTCGCACGTCTTCACCTTCGGCGGCTACACCCCGCGAGGGAACCCCATCTTCGGTGAGTCCGTGGTGGTGGGCACGGGGGGAGGAAACACCACAGGGACACCGTGGGGATGTCCCCATCGCGCTGATGGTGCCGCCGCCGCCAGGTCTGGCTCCGATGCAGAGCGATGTGGACCGCAAACCCTTCACCTCCATCCTCTACGGCAACGGCCCCGGGTATAAAATAGTGGCAGGGGAGCGTGAAAACGTCTCCGCTGTGGATTTTGGTGAGTGGGGTTTTGGGGCAAACCCCCCTGAGCTCATAACAACGTGGATAAATCAGTGCTTTTCACTGGTTATACTGATCCGGGGCTATCTTTTACCCAGCACACGCTGACTACCAGGCGCAATCAGCCGTACCCCTGCGCCAGGAGACCCACGGCGGGGAGGACGTGGCCGTCTTCGCCCGCGGCCCCATGGCCCATCTCCTGCACGGCGTCCACGAGCAGAACTACATCCCCCACGCCATGGCTTACGCCGCCTGCATCGGCTCCAACCGAGCCCACTGCAACGCCGCCGGCCGCCCCGGTGCCTCCGTGCTGCTGCCCTTCCTCGCTCTTCTCCTCCTCCTCTGCTAAAGTGCCTCTTGCAAAGCACCAAAAGGGGGGGTTATTTTTAATTCCTGCCTCCCTCCTCCCTTCTCTTTGGGTTTTTGTGGATGGCAGCGCCCGGGAAAAGAGGAGAGCAAAAAAGAAAGACTCAGCGGAGCAAAAAAGCAGCCGCCGGCGGTTTCGTGCTGGGAGCTGCCTCTGTAAATACACGGTTCCTTCCCCTGTAATTAGCATCCTTGCCTGCCCTATCCCCATCCCACCGCGGGATTTGGGATGGGAGCCGGAGCCTCAGCGGATAAAACCCCCCTCTTTGAGCCAGACGCAACGGGGCCGGGTCCCACATCGCTGCCCCGGTGCCTTGGCTAAGGACTGACCCCAACTCACCACGTGTGTGGCGACCCCGAAACCACACGAAAATGGGGAAAAAAAAGATTAACTCCCCGGGTTCATTTGTCCCCAAAAGTTGGGTTTTTTTTGGTGCCTTCTGCGTGATTGAGTCCGCTTTAAAAGCCTTCGGTTGGAAACAATGCGCTGCCCCCCGGGAGGGATCTGGGGTGGGAATTGCAGGGAGAGAGGAGTTAAGGGGTGGTACCCACTGAGATGGGGGGGAATTGAGGCTGGAGACAATGTGCCAATGGTGCTCTGAGTGTGCAAACGCTGCCTGAGCTGAGGACAAGGGTGCTTTGCACAAGCAGCACTCGTGCAAACGCCGTTGCTTGTGTGCAAGGGATGCTTTGTAGGGGCAGATGCCACCGGGGGTGCGTGTGTGAATGCACGCACTGCAGCCCCTTGCTGCATCCCGCGTGTGCAGCACCCCTAAACCCCGAATCCCCCCATGAGCACCCCCAAATCCTTCCCTGCACTCTCCCAATCCCCCCCCCCTTTCTATTTATTTACCAGCTTCATAAATAAATCCCTGCTCCGGTTTCCCATTCACCGGAAGGCTCCGGAGCAGGCGCTGGCCTGGATTTAGGGGGGGGGGGTGGGATGGATGCTGTTGGGACACCCCCACATCTCCCGGCGCCCTTCGCACCCACAGCGGCGGCATTCCCGACCGCGGCACAACCGCTTCCCAGAACCCGGCTATGTTTAACTGGTTTTGGGGGGTTCAGGGATGGGATGGGATGGGGGGGGGAACCGCTGTTCCTTGGCTGGGGCTTTGGAATGGTGCCGGTGGCCACCGGCCAAAGGCCGCTCCCGACGCCGGGGTGGCCACGGAGCCAAAGAGCAGGGTTGGACGGGTGGTTTATGGGGGGGGGGTGATGGAGGAGTGGTTTGCCGTGTTTTGGGGTACCCACAACCCCCCCCCCATAGTAACTCGGAGATAGGCTTTGCTAAGCCAAAGCCCCATATTTGGGTGAATAACTCCCCAAAATGGGTGAATAAAGCCCCAAAAATGGGTAAATAACCTTCCCAAAATGAGTGAATAACCCTCCAAAATGGGTGAATAACCTCCGAAATGGATAACCCCCCAAAATGACTAAATAACACCCAAAAAATAGATAAATAACCACCCCAAAAAGAGTGAATAACGCCCTCCAAAATGGGTACATAACACCCCAAAATGGCTAAAGAACCCCCCAAAATGGATAAATAACATCCCCAAAATGATTGAATTACCCCCCAAAATGGGTGAATAACCTCCAAAATGGATGACCCCCCCAAATGGCTAAATAACACCCCCAAAATGGCTAATGGCTAAATAAACACCCCAAAATGAGCGAGTAATGCCCCAAAATGGGTAAATAACCCCCAAAAAATGGGTACATCACCCCCCAAAATGACTAAAGAACCCCCCAAAAATGGATAGATAACCTCCCCAAAATGATTGAATAGCCCCCCAAAATGCATGAATAACCTCCAAAATGGACAAGCTCCCAAAATGGCTAAATAAAACCCCCAAAATGCATAAATAACACCCCCAAAAGAGTGAATAATGCCCCAAAGTGAGTGGATTACCCTCCAAATAATGGGTACATTATCCCTCCCAAAATGGATAAATACCCCCCCAATGAATAAATAACCTCCCCAAAATGATTGAATAACCCCCCCAAATGGGTGAATAACCTCCATAATGGATAACCCCAGAAATGGCCAAATAACTCCCCCCAAAATGGATAAATAACCCCCCAAAATGGGTGAATACCCCCCAAAATGGGTGAATACCCCCCCAAATGGGTGAATAACCCCCCAAAATGGGTGAATAACCCCCCAAATTGGTAAATTTGGGTGTTTTCAAGAGCACCAGCTCTGTTGTGTGAGGTTTTGGGGATCCCCCCCATTGCCCCGCAGCCGTAGCGATAAATAAACCTTTATTTTATACAGGACTCACAGGAAACACAAACACGATTTGGGGGGGGGGGCTTGAAAAAATCCCCCCCTACCCCCCCCCCCCCCAATTCCAGCATCCGACCCATTCCGGAGCCTTTTTCCCTTAAAATAAAGGGGGGGATGCGGGCACAGGGGGATTCCCCACTTTGGGTTTACCCTGGATCTGAGCCCCCGTTTTCCTTAGGGAGGGGGTGATGCTCGGGTCGGACCCGCTCTTCATTTTGGGGTGACAGCGGGGGGGACTTCATAGTCCATCACCCCCCCCCAGGGGGATTTGGGGTGATGGAGATTGTCTGGAGGGTGGGGACACCCCCATTTTTTGGGGGGGTCCCCCCATATCCTACATTGGGGACGATGGCTTCAGCTCCTGGTACATGAGGGGGGTTCACACCCCCCCCCCTGGCGATGGGGAGGGTTAACTATGAGCCCTGTGCAAACGAACATCAGTGGGTGCACCCCAATATAGGTGTCCCCATAATGGGGTGCACTGGGTGAATGAGGGGGGGGAGTCACAGCCTCACCGGATGAGGGGGGGGCCGCTCCAGTTGGATTTTGATCTCGGGGCAGGGGGACTCAGGGGGACGTCGGCCTGGAGAAGGTGGGGGGGAAGATGGGTGAGGGGGGGGTTATGAGTTGGGGGTCCCCCCCCCATTAAAGCCCCGCAGAGCCCTGACGCCCCGGTGATGGGCTACCTGTGGGGGTGCCGGGGGGGTCATCCGGCCACGGGGTGTCGGTGAAGGCGTCGCGGTGGGTTCCCGAGGGGGAGCGGCTCTCCTATGGATGCAGTGGGGGGGGAGGGTGTCAGGGGGATGCTGGGTGCCGTGTGTGTCCCCCCCCCCCATCCCATCCCCGTTATCCCCCGTTATCCCCCCCCCCCCGGCACCCCGGTACCCGTCCCGGCTCGCTCGGCTCCTCGGGGGCGCTGCCGAAGCTGCTGCCGCTGGAGGAGGAGCGGGAGAACTCCGGCGGCTCCGGCTTCTCCCTGCGGAGGGACCGGCCCGAGCCGTGGGCAGAGGCTGGCACCGCCTGCGGCCACCGCCGCCTCCCGGCCCCGAGCCACCCCTCCCTGCGCTGCCTTTGCCCATCCCTGTGCCGCCCCGTCCCCGCCATAACCCATCCCCGCGCCGTCCCATCGCTGGGGGTCCCATCCCTGGGGCTCTGTCCTGGAGTGCCCCATCCCTGTGCCACTCATCCCTATGCCATCCCATCCCTCACATACCCCATCCCATCCCTAAGATATCCCATCCCCTGCCATCCCATCCCTCACATATCCCATCCCCATGCCATCCCATCCCTCACATATCCCATCCCCTGCCATCCCATCCCTCAGATATCCCATCCCCATGCCATCCCATCCCTCACATATCCCATCCCCATGCCATCCCATCCCTCACATATCCCATCCCCTGCCATCCCATTCTATCCCATCCCCATCATCCCATCCCCTGCCATCCCATCCCCATGCCATCCTATCTGTCAGATACCCCATCCCCATGCCATCCCATCCCTCAGATATCCCATCCCCTGCCATCCTATCCCTCACGTATCCCATGCCCATGCCATCCCATCCGTCAGATACCCCATCCCCATGCCATCACATCCCTCAGGTATCCCATCCCATCCCTCACATATCCCATCCCATGCCATCCCATCCCTCACATATCCCATCCCATCCCTCACATATCCCATCCCATGCCATCCCATCCCTCAGAAATCCCATCCCCATCCATCCCATCCCCAATATCCCATCCCCTGCCATCCCATCCCTCACATATCCCATCCCCTGCCATCCCATCCCTCACATATCCCATCCCCATGCCATCCCATCTGTCAGATACCCCATCCCCATGCCATCCCATCCCTCAGATATCCCATCCCACCCCTCAGATACACCATCCCATGCCATCCCATCCCTCAGATATCCCATCCCATGCCATCCCATCCGTCAGATACCCCATCCCCATGCCATCCCATCCCTCAGATATCCCATCCCCTGCCATCCCATCCCCATGCCATCCCATCCCTCACATATCCCATCCCCTGCCATCCCATCCCTCAGATATCCCATCCCCATGCCATCCCATCCCTCAGATATCCCATCCCCTGCCATCCCATCCCCATGCCATCCCATCCCTCAGATATCCCATCCCCATGCCATCCCATCCCTCACATATCCCATCCCCTGCCATCCCATCCCTCAGATATCCCATCCCAGGCCATCCCATCCCTCAGATATCCCATCCCCATGCCATCCCATCCCTCAGATATCCCATCCCCATGCCATCCCATCCCTCAGATATCCCATCCCCTGCCATCCCATCCCTCACTATCCCATCCCAGGCCATCCATCCCTATATATCCCATCCCCATCCATCCCATCCCATATCCCATCCCCATGCCATCCCATCCCTCAGATATCCCATCCCCATGCCATCCCATCCCTCACATATCCCATCCCCTGCCATCCCATCCCTCAGATATCCCATCCCAGGCCATCCCATCCCTCAGATATCCCATCCCCTGCCATCCCATCCCTCAGATATCCCATCCCCTGCCATCCCATCCCTCAGATATCCCATCCCCTGCCATCCCATCCCTCAGATATCCCATCCCCATGCCATCCCATCCCTCACATATCGCATCCCATGCTATCCCATCCCTCACATATCCCATTCCCATGCCATCCTATCCCTGTTCCCCTCATCCCCCTGCCATCCCATCCCTCAGATATCCCATCCCATGCCATCCCATCCCTCAGATACCCCATGCCATCCCATGCCATCCCACGCCATCCCACCCCATGCCATGCCGTCCCCATGTCCCACACCACACCAATGTGTCCCCATGCCACCCCCCCATGCCCACCTCCCCTCTACACCACCCTGTGCCCAGGCCACCCAAGTACCACTCCATCCCTGTGCCACCCACCCCACTGCTCCCCCTTGTCCAGCTCACTGATACCTTGTCCCTGTGCCACTATGTTCCTGTGCCACCCCATCCCTGTGCTATCCCACATTGTCCAGTGTCATTCCATCCCTCTGTCACCCTGTCCATCCACCTGCTGCCCCGTCCCAGTGCCCTCCAGTCCCCATGTCACCTCGTCCCCTTGCCACCCCATCCCAGTGCCAGCTCAGTGTCCCTGCATCCCTGTGCCACCCTGTGTTCTATCCCAGCCCAATGCCCTCCAGTCTCCGCGTCACCCCATCCCAGTGCCACCCTGTCCCATTGCATCCCTGTTACCCCATGCCAGTACCACCACATGCCAGTACCACCACATCCCCATGCCACCACGTCCAAGTGCCACCCTGTCCTTGCACTGCCCCATCCCATTGCCCTCCAGTCCGCACATCACCCTGACATCACTGTCCCCATGTCACCTCAACCCAGTGCCTCTATGGCCTATTGCATCCCAGTGCCCACCAGTCCCTGTGTCACCCCACTCTGTGTCAACCCGTCCCTGTCACCCCAACACCATGTCACCCCATCCCTGTGCCACACAATCCCATATCGCTCCTCCCCATGTTACCCTGTCCCATGTCACCCCATCCCCATGTCACCCCATCCTGTGTCACCCCAACCCTTGTATTCCCAACCCTGTGTCACCCCGTCGCCATGTCACCCATCCCTGTGTCACCCCATCCCGTCATCCCAATCTTATGTCACCCCATCCCATGTCACCCATCCTGTGTCACCCATCCCATGTCACCCATCCCTGTGTCACCCTATCCCCTCTCACCCCAATCTTATGTTACCCCACCCCATGTCACCCATCCGTGTCACCCATCCCATGTAACCCATCCCGTGTCACCCACCCTGTGCCACCCATCCCTGTGTCACCCTATCCCCTCTCACCCCAATCTTATGTTACCCCATCCCATGTCACCCATCCCATGTCACCCATCCCGTGTCACCCATCCCATGTCACCCATCCCGTGTCACCCATCCCGTGTCACCCATCCCATGTCACCCATCCCATGTCACCCATCCCGTGTCACCCATCCCATGTCACCCATCCCTGTATCACCCATCCCATGTCACCCATCCCGTGTCACCCATCCCATGTCACCCATCCCATGTCACCCATCCCGTGTCACCCATCCCGTGTCACCCATCCCATGTCACCCATTCCATGTCACCCATCCCGTGTCACCCATCCCATGTCACCCATCCCTGTATCACCCATCCCATGTCACCCATCCCGTGTCACCCATCCCATGTCACCCATCCCATGTCACCCATTCCATGTCACCCATCCCATGTCACCCATCCCGTGTCACCCTTCCCATGTCACCCATCCCGTGTCACCCATCCCGTGTCACCCATCCCTGTATCACTCATCCCATGTCACCCATCCCGTGTCACCCATCCTTGTATCACCCATCCCATGTCACCCATCCCGTGTCACCCATCCCTGTATCACCCATCCCATGTCACCCATCCCGTGTCACCCATCCCTGTATCACCCATCCCATGTCACCCATCCCGTGTCACCCATCCCTGTATCACCCATCCCATGTCACCCATCCCGTGTCACCCATCCCTGTATCACCCATCCCGTGTCACCCATCCCGTGTCACCCCATCCCCGTGCCCCGTCCCGGTGCGGGACCTGTCCTGGTGCCGCTGGCTCTCGGGGGAGCTGTGCGCGGAGCCGGCTCCCTCGGGGGTGGCGGCGGGGCCGTCCCTGTGCGGAGGGGGCGGGCACTGGGGTGACCCCGGGCGGGGACAGCGGCCGCCCCGCCCCGCCCCGCGCCGGTACCGGCGCTCACCTGCCGGCCGGCGCCTCCTGGATGCTCTCGATGCCGATGGCGCTGGAGCGGCGGGAGCCGAGCGGGCCGGGCCGCCGCCGCGAGGGGCTCTTCCCGGGCACCAGCAGCGCCTGCGGGGCGCCGTTAACCGGGACCGGGTGTCGGGATGGGGTGGGGGTGGGGGGGCACCGGAGGATGGGGGGGGCACCGCGGTACCCACCTCTTCCACCGAGCCCAGCCCGATGGCGCTGCCGCGGCGTCCGCGCCGGCTCCCGGGCACCAGCAGCGACTGCGGGGGGCAGCGGGTGAGAGACCGGCACCGGGAGGGGCGGGGCTACACAGGAGGGGCGGGGTCAAGGAGGGGTGAGCGGGGCTTAAGAGTGGTGCCGCGGATCCGCTAAGCTACCCCCAGGGGGGCGTGGCCTGTGTTGAGGGGCGGGTCCAGAGCGGTTTAGAGGCGTGGCCTCACGGGGTGGGTGCGGCTTCGCCCAGGCTCCCGCAAGGTGATTGGCTGAGGGAGCTGTGGGCGTGGCCAAGGCGCAGGGGGCGGGGCTCTCCGCGGGGTCCCTGGTACCGCCCGCCCCGCTCCGCACCTTGAAGGACTCGAAGAAGCCCGGCGCGGCGGAGCCGTTGTCCGGACGCTCGTCCTCGGGGCCCAGCCCCAGCATGGCCTGGCTGCGCGCCTGCAGCTCCTCGTGCAGCGTCTCCAGCAGCGCCGCCCGCGTCCGCTCCTGCGCACCCGCAGCGATGGGAACCCCCCCCAAGGGAGAGCCCCCCGTGCCCGCCCGCGCACGGCCCGTGGCACCCATGTGCACAGCACCCATAGCACCCGTGTGCACAGCACCCATGGCACCCATGTGCACAGCATCCATAGCACCCGTGTGCACATCATCCATGGCATCCAGTGTACGCAGCACCCATAGCACCCATGTGCACAGCACCCACAGCACTCAGTGTGCACAGTACCCACAGTACCCATGTGCACATCATCCATGGCATCCAGTGTACACAGCACCCATAGCACCCATGTGCACAGCACCCATAGCACCCATGTGCACAGCACCCATAGCACCCGTGTGCACATCATCCATGGCATCCAGTGTACGCAGCACCCATAGCACCCATGTGCACAGCACCCATAGCACCCATGTGCACAGCACCCACAGCACTCAGTGTGCACAGCACCCACAGTACCCATGTGCACATCATCCATGGCATCCAGTGTACACAGCACCCATAGCACCCATGTGCACAGCATCCATAGCACCCGTGTGCACATCATCCATGGCATCCAGTGTACACAGCACCCATAGCACCCATGTGCACAGCAGCCACATAGCACCCATGTGCACAGCACCCATAGCACCCATGTGCACAGCACCCATGACATCCAGTGTATGCAGCACCCATAGCACTCAGTGTACACAGCACCCACAGTACCCATGTGCACATCATCCATGGCATCCAGTGTACGCAGCACCCACAGCACCCAGTGTACACAACATCCACAGCACCCACAAGCACCTAATGTACACAGCACCCATGTGCACCGGACCTACTGCTTCCACAGCACCCATGTGCACAGCAGCCACATGCGCATCATCCATAGCACCCAGTGTACACAGCACCCACAAGCACCCAGTACACAGGGTACAGTACAGTGCACACAGCCCCCATGTGCACTGGGCCTGCAGTGTACACAACACCCATGTGCATGCATACACGGCACCCACTTCCAGGCACAGCACCCACATCCTTAGCACTGGGTGTTGTGCCTTCAGTGCCGGGCACAATGTGGGCGCTGTGGCTGCAATGGGCAGCCCCACTGAGTGCCCAGCACCCCCATTGCACCCAGCACCCACTGCAGCCCCCCCAGCACCCATGCATCACCCACCTCCAGCTTGGCGAACTTCTCCGCCTTATAGCAGGCGTACTCGGCATTGATGAGCTTCGTGAGCAGGAACTCCTGGAACTCGGGGCCCTGCAGGGCAAGGGGCAGCCCTTGGGTGGGTGCCACCCTTGGACCCCCCCTTTAACAGCACCCATGGGTGCTCACCTTCCTGAACACAGCGGGGTCAGGCAGCGGCGGCCCGAAGAAGGGGACATCATCACGGGCAGTGACGGAGACCTGCGGCGGGGCGGCAGGGAGGGGGTGACGGGGGGCCCCCAGCGCCCCATGGATGGATGGGAGGTGGGGGGCACAGAGTGGGGCACCTTGTAGAGGGGTCCCTGGTCGCTGCCCTGCTCCAGCTGCACCACCACGAAGGCGTGCAGGAAGTTGGAGGCGATCATGTCCGGCACGAAGGGGGTGTTCTCGTCCTGGAACACCACGGCCACGATGTCGTTGCCGATGTGGCGCTTGCGCTGCAGCTGAGGGGACAGCGGGGCGGGGGTCAGGGAGGGACGGGGAGGATGGAGGGGACAGGGGCAGCCGCTGTGCCATATGGGTGCCCAACAGCGCCCATGGGTGGCCATGGAGCTTCGGTATCCCATAGGCATTCCCCAGCACCCATGGGTGACCATGGAGCTTTGGTATCCCATAGGCGATCCTAAGCACCCATGGGTGACCATGGAGCTTTGGTATCCCATAGGCATTCCCCAGCACCCATGGGTGACCATGGAGCTTTGGTATCCCATAGGCATTCCCCAGCACCCATGGGTGACCATGGAGCTTTGGTATCCCATAGGCATTCCCCAGCACCCATGGGTGACCATGGAGCTTTGGTATCCCATAGGCAATCCCCAGCACCCATGGGTGACCATGGAGCTTTGGTATCCCATAGGCATTCCCCAGCACCCATGGGTGCTCTGCCATCCCCCTGTATACCATAGAGAGCATAGGTATCCACCCAGGACCCAGGGGTGACCATGGAGCTTTGGTATCCCATAGGCATTCTCCAGCACCCATGGGTGCTCTGCCATCCCCCTGTATCCCATAGAGAGCATAGGTATCCACCCAGCACCCATGGGTGCTCTGCATCCCCCTGTACGCCATAGATAGCATAGTTATCCACCCAGCACCCATGGATGCTCTGCATCCCTCTGTATCCCATAGAGAGCATAGTTATCCCCCCAGCACCCATGGGTGCTCTGACATCCCCCTGTACACCACAGAGAGCATAGGTATCCCCCCAGCACCCACGGGTGACCATGGAGCTTCAGTATCCCATAGGCAATCCCCAGCACCCATGGGTGCTCTGCATCCCCCTGTATACCATAGATAGCATAGTTATCCCCCCAGCACCCATGGGTGCTCTGACATCCCCCTGTACACCATAGAGAGCATAGGTATCCCCCCAGCACCCATGAGTGACCATGGAGCTTCAGTATCCCATAGGCAATCCCCAGCACCCATGGGTGCTCTGCCATCCATCTGTACACCATAGATAGCATAGTTATCCACCCAGCACCCATGGGTGACCATGGACCTTTGGCATCCCATAGACATGTAGACATCCCCCCAGAGCCCATGGGTGCTCTGCCAGCCTCTGCATCCCAAGGATGCTCCCCATCTTCCATGGATGACAATGGAACTTTGACGTCCTATAGACATACAGACATCCCTCCAGCACCCATGGGTGCCCATAGAGCTTTGGCATCTCGCTGACATTCCCCAGCACCTCTGGGTGCTCTCCCAGCCTCTGCATCCCATAGATGCTCCCCCATCGTCCATGGGTGACCATGGAACTTTGGCATCCCATAGACACCACCCAGCACCCATGGGGGGTACCGCTAGCCCTTGTGCTCCATAGGTGCTCAGTAGCACCCAGGGGTGCTGTACCAGCCCCTGTGCCCTGTAGCTGCCCCCCAACACCCATGGATGCCCATGGAGCTTTTCTGTCTCATTGACACCCCCCCTAGCACCCATGGGTGCTCTGCCTCCCATAGATGTACCCCCATGCACCCATGGGTGTACTGCTAGCCCTTGTGTCCCACAGATACTCCCCAGCACCCATGTGTTCCCCAGACACCCCTGCACCCCATGGACACCCCCATAGCACCCATAGGTACCCCACCACCCCTTCCACCTCATGGGGGCACCCTATAAACCCCTATACCTCCATCCCTGTGTCCCCCGCAGCACCCATGGGTGCCCCACCTGCTGCGCATCCCCCTCGGTGTAGGGCAGCTTGGTGGAGACGTGGAACATGATCTCCTTGTCTCGGAAGTGGCAGTAGATGGACTCGCTGCCCGTCTGCCCATGGGTCACATCCAGCCCCCCCCGGAACCTGTGCATGGAGGGGGGCACCCTGAGCCCGGCAGCACCCATGGGTGCCCCCAGCACCCAGCGCCCCATCACGCACCCCTTGAAGTCGCGGAGCTGCACCCGCTGCCCCAGCACGTCCAGGAACTCGGTGAAGGCCGGGCTCTCCTCCGTGGTGCCAAAGAGCTCCTCCTCGGATGTCTGTGATGGGGAGGATGTGGGTGCACCCCAGCACCCACAATGAGACCCCCCCATCCTCACCCCCCCCATACCTGCCCCAGCTTCTGGTAAATGACCCCAAACTTGAAGTGGTTGCTGAGCACGTGCTCGTCGAAGGCGAGGATGAGGCGGGAAGCCTGCGGGAGCACAGGGAGGGTGGGTGGGTGGGGAGCACCCACGGGTGCCCATGGGCGGCCCCGGCCTCGCACCCCGCTCACCTTGGGGTAGAGCACGGGGTAGAAGCGATCCACGTTGACGTCCTCGCACACCAGCTGCGGGAGGGATGGGGGATGCGATGGGTGCCACAGGGTTCAGGGGGGCACCCATGGGTGCTGCTGGAGGTGAGGCACCCACCTTGGCCATCTGCACCACGTTGGGGAACTCGGCCAGGCAGGAGATGGGCACCACGTCGTGCAGGGTGCGGGTACGGGTGCTGTGGGGTGAGGGTGGGGGGGGTTAGGGTGCTTCCCTACCTGCAGGCAGCACCCATGGGTGCCCCCCGGGCCCCTGCTCACCGCAGCAGCAGGTGGAGGTGCTCCTGCTCATCGTACTTGAGGGAGAAGACGAGGTGGCCCAGTGCTGGGTCCAGGGAGTAGTAGTTGAAGTGCTCCTGCGGGGAGGGGGCCGAGCACCCATGGCTGCGCCAATGGGTGCTCACACTGGGAGGCACCAGTGCCCATCAGCACCAATGTCCGTGAGCACCCATGATCGTGAGCACCAATGCCCATGAGCACCCATGCCCATGAACACCAATGTCCATGAGCACCCATGATCACAAGCACCAATGTCCATGAGCACCCATGCCCATGAACACCCCATGCCTGTGAGCACCAATGTCCATGAGCACCCATGCCCATGAACACCCCATGCCCATGAGCACCAATGTCCATGAGCACCCATGCCCATGAACACCCATGTCCATGAACACCCCATGCCCATGAACACCAATGTCCATGAGCACCCATGCCCTTCGAGCACCCATGCCCATGAACACCCTATGCTCATGAACATCAATGCCCATGAGCACCCCATGCCCATGAACACCCCATGCCCATGAACACCAATGTCCATGAGCACCCATGCCCTTCGAGCACCCATGCCCATGAACACCCTATGCTCATGAACATCAATGCCCATGAGCACCCATGCCCATGAACACCAATGTCCATGAGCACCCATGCCCATGAGCACCAATGTCTGTGAGAACCCATGATCACAAGCACCAACGTCCATGAGCACCCATGCCCATGAACACCCCATGCCCATTAACACCAATGTCCATGAGCACCCATGCCCTTGGAGAACCTGTGCCCATGAGCACCCCATGCCCATGAGCACCAATGTCCATGAGCACCCATGCCCATGAACACCCCATGCCCATGAACATCCATGTCCATGAGCACCGATGCCCATGAGCACCAATGTCTGTGAGAACCCATGATCACAAGCACCAATGTCCATAAGCACCCATGCCCATGAGCACCCCATGCCCATTAACACCAATGTCCATGAGCACCCATGCCCATGAACACCAATGTCTGTGAGCACTCATGCCCATGAACACCCCATGCCCATTAACACCAATGTCCATGAGCACCCATGCCCTTGGAGCACCCGTGCCCATGAGCACCCCATGCCCATGAACACCAATGCCCATGAGCACCAATGCCATGAACAACTACATCCATGGGCACTCATGCCCATGGGCCACCCGTCCTGAAGACCTGTAGATTCCCCATGCCCATGGACACTCATGTCTATGAGCACCCATGCCATGAGGCACCCAGGTCCCTGAGCACCCATAACCCTGAGCACTCATCCCCCCAGGGCACCCAGGTCCATCAGCACCCATACTCACAGATACCACCACCTATGGAGCACCAACATGCATGGGCTTACATGCAACGAGCCACCCATGCCCATGAGCACCTATGTTATGGGGCATCCAGGTTCCTGAGCACCCCTACCCATGGGCACCCATACTTATGGAGCCCCCATGCCCATGGGGCACCCAGATCCATGAGCACCTATACCCATGTGGCTCCCATGCCCATAGATATCCACACCCATGAGTCACCCATGTCCATGAGCACCCTGCTCATGGGGCACCCATGTCCATGAATACCCATGCCCATGACACCAATGAGTCAACCTTGTTCAAGAGCACCCATATGCATGAGCACCCTGCTCATGGGACACCCAGGTCCATGAGCACCCATGTCATAGGCCACCATTGCCCATGAGCACCTATCTGCATGAGCACCCATGCTTATGAGGTCTCCATGCCCAAGCGCACCCATAGCCATGGAGCACCCACGGAGCACCCACGGAGCACCCATGGAGCACCCACGGAGCACCCATGGAGCACCCATGGAACACCCATGGAGCACCCATGGAGCACCCATGGAGCACCCACGGAGCACCCACGGAGCACCCATGGAGCACCCACGGAGCACCCATGGAACACCCATGGAGCACCCATGGAGCACCCACGGAGCACCCATGGAGCACCCACGGAGCACCCATGGAACACCCACGGAGCACCCATGGAGCACCCACGGAGCACCCACGGAGCACCCACGGAGCACCCATGGAGCACCCATGGAGCACCCACGGAGCACCCATGGAGCACCCATGGAACACCCATGGAGCACCCATGGAGCACCCATGGAGCACCCATGGAGCACCCACGGAGCACCCGAGCACCCATGGAGCACCCATGGAGCACCCACGGAGCACCCATGGAGCACCCATGGAGGAACACCCACGGAACACCCATGGAGCACCCACGGAGCACCCATGGAGCCCCACGGAGCACCCATGGAACACCCATGGAGCACCCATGGAGCACCCATGGAGCACCCACGGAGCACCCATGGAACACCCATGGAGCACCCACGGAGCACCCATGGAGCACCCATGGAGCACCCACGGAGCACCCATGGAGCACCCATGGAGCACCCATGGAACACCCATGGAGCACCCATGGAACACCCACGGAACACCCATGGAGCACCCACGGAGCACCCATGGAACACCCACGGAGCACCCATGGAGCACCCACGGAGCACCCATGGAGCCTCACCTTGCCCAGGAAGTGCTTGCGGTAGATCTTGGCCGTGTGGTTCCCCTCCAGCTTCGCCCGGGTGCTGGGTGCCGGGGTCGGGGGGGACTCGGGTGCCGCGCTCAGCTGATGGTTGGTGCCCTCGATCCAGTACCCCCCAAACTGCGGCAGGAGGATGAGGGGGAACGGCCCCTCCCGGCCCAGCACCTGCACCCACAACCCAGATGGGTGCTCAGCACCCACCGCTGACCCACCCCGGTGCTCGGGGGCCCTGGCACCCATCTCTGAAGGGGAATGGGTGCTCTACCTCATGCACGCTGGGGTAGGGGATGTAATCCTCTTCCGTCTGCAAGACAGCGGTGGGTGAAGGCCATGCTGGCACCCATGGGTGCTGGGGTTGGTGGAGGCCTTGTTGGCACCCATGGGTGCTGGTCTGGTGCCCCCCACCCCACCAGCGCCTACCTTGAGCGACGGGGGGACGGCGTGGCGCTGCTGGGCCATCCTGCTGCCCTGGGGGACATGGGTGCTGGTGGGTGCCCATCACCCCGCCTTGGGCCTTGGGTGGGGAGCACCCATCGGGGCTTACCTCGGGGTGGGGAGGCCGAGGGGGCGGCGGTGCTGGGTGCAGAGGGGTCTATGCGGTGCGGGGGGGTCCTGGGGGGCCCATGGCGCTTCCTGGGGGCGAGGGGAGCTCCCCCACAGCCCCCTTGAGCCGCGTTAACCCTGAAGCCGACTGCGGGCAGCGGGCCCCGGCACCCCCGGAGGGCGCCCCCTGCGGGCGGGAGGCGGCACCGCGCGGGGCAGCACCACGGACAGCGCCGAGCCCCGGCACCGGCTCCGGTCCTGGTGCGAACGGATCCGTTCTCGCCCCCCCCCCCCAAACCCCCCCCCCAGTCCCGTCCGTGCGCGCCCCCCGTGCACCCACAAACCAACCCCGTGCAAACGGACCCCGCTGCCGGGGCAAGCGCAACCGGGGGCAAACGCGACCCCGGTGCCAACGCGGCGATGTCACCGGTGCCGGTGCAGGCAGGACCCGTCCCCCCCCGTACCCGTGGGTAACACCGTGACCCCCCCACACCCACGCCCCCCCCCGGGCCACCCTGCGTGGTCCTTGGGGGGGGTTCCCCCGCATCGCTTCGCTCCCCCCCCCCCATTTCAGTGGGGGGAGCAGGGGGGGGTGACCCAAATCTGGGGCGAGGATGGGGGGGAGACGGGCAGAGATGATGGGGCCGGGTTTGGGGGGGAGGGGCAGGTTTGGGGGCCCGTTAAGGGGGGGGGCAGGTTTAAGGGGTAATTCAGATATCGGGGAGGGGCAGGTTGGGGGGGGCTGTTCCCCACCCCCACGCCCAGCCCCGGAGCATCCCCCCCACCGCACCCCGCGCTACCGGTACCGGCTGAAGGTCACCGGGGAACGGAGCACCCCCCCCCCCCCCGGTGCTGCACTGATGATGAAGGGGGGGGGTTGGGGGCACGGTGGGGGGGGGCCGATCCCCGCGGAGCGGCACTTACCGGAGGGGCGGCGGGGCCGGGACCGGGGCCGGGGCTGGGGCCGGTACCGGAGCGGAGCCGGTACCGGAGCGCAGCGGAGCGGGGGCCCCGGCGCTCGCAGGCACCGCGCCGCGTCACGTGCGGCGGGGCGGGGCGGCCCCTCCGGGGGCGGCCGGCACCGGGAACCGGCACCGGGAACCGGGGAATGGCAGCGGGCACCGGGACCGGCGACCAGGAAATGGCACCAGAACCAGGAAGCAGCGCTGGGAACGGGAACCGGCAGCACTGGGGAAGGGCACTGGAACAAGGAACCGGGATCTGGCCTCACCCCATCCCCATCCTGCGCTGCCCCATCCCAGCATCCAGGTCCCCCCCATTGCTCCCCAAATCCCTCCCTGGTCCCCAGGGAACCGTCTCCATCCTCCTGCCCTCCATCACCCCATGAGCCTCTCCCACAGCACCCAGGACACAAGGACCCCCCCCCAGCACCCACCTCCCCCCCTGGGGCCACTTTGGTGTCAGGAAGGACACCCCCATTTGGGATCCCCAGGGAAGGGGATGCTTGGGATGCGTTGGGATACTGGGCACCAGCCCCGGAGCTCCCCCAGCCCATTGAGCACCCATGGGTGCTCCGCTTCCAGGCTCCAGTAAGAACCATTCCATGTGCCACAGCCGATGCGATTCCTGCTCCGGGCAGATCCCACTTGCTCCCATCCCATCCTTTCTGGGATGGCCCAGAGTGGGATTTGGGGCTTAAGATCCCACCCACCCCACGTGTGTGCATTTCCATTGAGGCTTCCACAGCTCAAACCACGATTTTAATGGGATAATGCTTGGAAATAACAGATACAACAGGAACTTGGGCCTTCCATCATGTCTTGTACCCGCGGCACATCCGTCGCATACGGAAACATGGATCCAGCTCCTCCCTCCCCACCGGGGTGAGAGGTTTAATTCTGCAACGTTACGAGCTCCAGAATGTGGAGAAGGTAAAAAACAGGGGGGGAAATAACAGCAAATGGAAAAAAACCCCATATGGAATTCCCAAGGAATACGTACACAAGCGTGGGCTTCAGTCGGGGAAGGGGGAACGCTCCTGAAGGATGGAGCAGCTTCAGCACGCTCAATTCCTGCCACGTCTTTACCTTGGGGAAGGCTCCACGGGTCCACATCGCTCCCCTCAACATCACCTTTTAATGTTCCATGGCTCCCTGAGGCCGGGAATGGGCTTGGGAATGGGCAGCTCTGGGGGCTGCAGGTGTAGAAAGTAATGGTGTTTATTAGTGCATTCAGACACACCGAGGGCCGAGGAGGGGAAAAGAACGCCTCTTCCCATGGGAAACACGCACCGGGGCCCCTTGGTCCGAGGGGAGAAAAGCTGCTCTCAGCAGTCATAAAACCAACCCAAACGTTGCTAAAATGCCCCCAATCCACATGGATCCAGTGGTTATCGGAGCCCATCCCGCACTGGGGCATCCCCAGGCCCCGGCGGCGGGACCCAAAGGGGGTTTTGGGGTGAAAGAACTGAAGATTCGGTGCGGGAAGGAGCCAGATGTTCCTCACCAGTAACAATCCCTTTACTTCCATGCGGCACTGAAGGAGTAAGAGCGGATCAAAGACAGGATTATCCGGAAGAAGCAGGTTGGGCCTAAAGGATTCCTCAAGAACGGATCAAGGAGGGGTTGTTGGATGGGATCAGGACCCTCTGCAGACAACACCGCATGGGGCTGGGGCTGGATGAAGCCCCAAAAGAGGGCCCCGCTGGTGCCAGGGCAGGGTGTCCTCCAGTGCAATCTGCTTTGACATAAGGCATTTTGATTTCTTTAATGGGGGGGCAGTCACTTCCAAATGGGATTCTGCCTTCTGGAAGAGTCAAAGAGTTCAGTCCTGTGTCCACCTGCTCTGTTGTAATGCCCTACCCGTGTCAAAATCCTCTTCCCTTCTGGTCGTGCCTCTGTTGCCAAGGCTTAGGAAACCATCAGTGGCCAAGTAAACCAGTCCCTGAGGAGGAGAGGTGATGATGGTCACAGGATGGAGATGATGAAGGGAGCGTGGGTTTAAATGAAAGGGGAAGGGAAAGGCAACCCCCAAACTCACCTTTAAATCCTTCTTCAGGCATACAAACTGGGGAGGGAAAGGAAAAGGTACCGTGTTAGCAACCTCCTGGCAGCTGTTCCTTAAAGGATCTTTTCTACCACTGAACCTCCTGTGGGCACTGACATTGTGGAATCATGGAACGGGTTGGGTTGAAGGGAGCTTAAAGCTCCTCCAGCTCCAACCCCCGCCACGGGCACGGACCCCTTCCCCTGGAGCAGCTTGCTCCAAGCCCCTGTGTCCAACCTGGGCTTGAGCACTGCCAGGGATGGGGCAGCCACAGCTTCTCTGGGCACCCTGTGCCAGCGCCTCAGCACCCTCACAGGGAAGAGCTTCTGCCTAAGAGCTCAGCTCAGTCTCCCCTCGGGCAGGTTCAAGCCATTCCCCTTGGCCTGTCCCTACAGGCCCTTGTCCCAAGCCCCTCTCCAGCTTTCCTGCAGCCCCTTTAGGCACTGGAGCTGCTCTAAGGTCTCCCCTTCAGGAGCCTTCTCTTCTCCAGGCTGCCCCAGCCCAGCTCTCTCAGCCTGGCTCCAGAGCAGAGCTGCTCCAGCCCTCGCAGCATCTCCATGGCCTCCTCTGGCCTCGCTCCAGCAGCTCCAGGTCCCTCTTGTGCTGCTGCCCCAGAGCTGGAGCAGGGCTGCAGGGGGGGTCTCCCCAGAGCACAGCAGAGGGGCAGGATCCCCTCCCTGAGCTGCTGCTCACGCTCTGGGGGTGCAGCCCAGCACACGGGGGGGTTCTGGGCTCAGGCGCTCACTGAAGCCAGGTCATGGGGAGCTTCCCATTGACCAACAGCCCCAGGACCCTCTCCCCAGCAGTACTCTCCATGCAGGCTCACCCCAGTCTGTTTGTGCTTGGGCTTGTCCCAGCCTTGCAAAACACAGCTCCAGCACCTCCATTTTCAACCCAAACCCAACACAACCCTTGCCCACCAGCCCTTCTCCCTGATCACAGTGGTGAGGTGCCTTCCCTGAACCCCAAAGCTTCCGAGGCGTCCCCCACCCCTCACCTTGCATAACGTCATCCATCGCTGCGTAATCTGCAATGGGTTCATCAGCCTGGAAAACAAAGTGGAGCAGGGGATTAATGAGGAACCAATCTTATGTGGGAGCTCAGAGCCCTGCTCAGAGGGGAGCAGGGACCAGCTCTTGTGCCCCAAAACCATCAGGGAACAAGAGGGGAGGACTCACTCCCTAATCAAGCCATATTTCAGGCTTGGACACACACAGCTCAGCAGCAAAGGCCACCTAAGAGATGCTCTTTAACCAAACAAGCTAAAGCAAAGTGGCTTTTCCTCCTCTGAGAAGAAGGACCTCATGAAACCAAGCCATGGAGCATCCACGGGTGGGCACATCTATCCCCCACCAGTTTCCACCCGCACCACAAGGTGTTTCCCTTTGGCTGTACAAAACCCCAGCCCAGTTCCCTGTGTTATCTGGCTCAGTTTGAGCAGCCCCAGCCTCACGTTACCTTTAACAGGATGACAGACTCGGGGATGACACCCAGGCTGCCCAGCGTCGCCGTGTCGTCGCTCAGCATCTTCCCATCGATGGACAAGTTCTGGTCGAAGGGAGCAACTGAAAATGCATGCATGATCTGTGCCAACACAATGAGACAGGCTCACTGGGTGCTGAGGGAAACACCGCGCTGCTGAGCTGCATAAGAACACATCCATAAGAGCAACACACACCTTCCCCTGCCCCATGGGCCCTTATGCTCCATCCCTCCATCCCCTCCAGGCCATGCACTCCTCATGCTCCTCTGTTCCATGGAGGAAAACCCCCCCTTACCTGGATTTTGAGCTCCTTCAGGGTCTGGTTAGCAGACACAAGCAGTGCTTTCTCCCCTCGGACCTTGCGGTGCCGGGTGCTTCGCCGGATGCCTTGTTTTTGGTAAGGGATGTAGCTGTGGTGTGAGATCTTCTGGCGCTTCGCTGCACCGTTGGCCTAGGAGCAAGAGGGAGGGAAGAGAATCCACATATCAGGAGCCTAAGGTTGGGATCAGAGGGCAAAGCACAACCTCCCCATGCCCCGGCCTGGGTTTCAGGTGAGTTGGTCATGCACAGTGCTGCAAAGCCCCTTGGAAAGCAGACTGAAGCGTGCAAGGATCAAGAGGAGCGAGGGGTTTGCCTTGGAGCCTCGGTTCCTGCTCCTACACTAGTGCAGGGTGGGCACCAGCCAAGCCCAGGAGTCACCATCAGTACCTGCTCCCTCCGAAACAACTCAGTGGTGTGGTGCCACCCTTGGAATGAGCTTTAGACACTGGTTTGGGCTGCTCGTGGTTAAGGGAGGAGGAAGGGGCTGTCCCACCATGCTGACTCGAGGGGACGATGCACAACCCAAGGGACCTGGTGGTGGTTTCGATCTCTACCTGGTTAAAATCTGGGTCTTGCTCCCCCTCTGGCTTGTTTTCCTCCCTGTCCTCTTCCGCTTCCGAGCTGCTCACGTTGAGCTCCGGAGCAGCGTCCTTCATTACCTGAAGTCACAAAAACCATTCTCCATAACTAACCCCACAGCATCACCCCCAAACCTGCCACATCCCGGGCTGCCCGCTCGGCCCGAGGAGCTGAGACAGAGCAGGAAGAACACGGGAGCTTGCTCCATGTGCAAAGTCATCTCCACCCCTCCCCATCTGCACTGAACCACGGGGGGATTCGAAGCATGCTTCTCCATTGAGCTGCAGGTGCTTCCTGCTGCTCAGGACCTCCCCTCCTCTCCAGGCAAAGGGAAAGTCTCCAGGGGCCTGCACTGATTTCTTTGCCATTAGCTGGCTGCCTCTCTGGTTCATCTAAGTGTGTTATGAAAGCCCTAACCCAGAGAAAGGAGTATTATCCACGAACCAGGCGCCCATCCAGCCCTGCAGCAGACCCACAGAGGCACTCAGCACCATTATTTATGGGTCTGGAGGCTGTAAGTAAATGAAATCTAAATAATTTACACAAGCATCTGAATCAAGAGGCTGCTCAGCTCTGTGTAAGTCACTCCAGGAGGCATGGATCTGCCAGATGAGAATTCCCATCCAAGCTTTGCCTGGAGCTGGGGATTGCAGGAGCCCTGGGGATGGTGTGCT